AGATCAACGACAAAGAAGTTAAGCTGGATACTGCGTCAGACATCATCTTGATTTGTCGAGACACATGGTGTATGCTGGGACGACCACCGCTTGTCCATACAGACCACACAGCAAGAAACGCATCCGGGGGTATCTTGAAATTACTCGGAGAGTTACATCGTCAGGTTAGTTTCCGCGATCAGCAGTACAACCTATTTTGTGACAGATCAGCCTGGATTGAATTTACTGGGTCTCGATTGGATGAAGGAATTGAACTTACTTGACCAGTCATTTAACAGTATATGCAAGAAATTACAAGTCGAGAAACCCGCACAGACGTCAAATATGAAAGAAACTTTACAGTCAAATTGCAGAACTGAAGCGATGCCACAAAATTTTTTTCAACTCGGTCCTGGATGCTGCCGGGTAGCCATAGCTGCGCTGAACCTCAAACCAGACGTCAGACCAGTTTTTAGACCAAAAAGTCAAGTGCCGTACGCAACCCAACCAATAGTGGAGTCTGAGTTAAATCGTCTGCAGTCGGAAGGTAGAATCGAGCGCATACATTACTCAGAATGCGCGTCACGCATAGTTGTGGTGAAGAAAGGAAACGACAAAATATGCATTTGTGCCGACTTTTCAACCGGTATAAATTCCATGTTGGAGAATCAATAGTATCCTTTGCCTATACCTAAAGATTTGTTCAACAAGCTTAACGGTGGTAAATGGTTCGCGAAGCTCGATCTAGCTGATGCTTACCTACAAGTTCCAGTAGCCGAGAATTGCAGAACATTACTGACGGTCAACACGCATCTTGGATTTTTCCAGTGCAATCGGATGCCATTCGGAGTGAAAACCGCTCCCGCCATTTTTCAACAAATCATGGATACGCTGCTGAACAACATCCATGGGGTCGCAGTATACTTGGATGACGCACTGACTATGAGATCTGACCCACAAAATTTGCTGGCTACGTTATAGAAAAAGTGCTCTCACGTCTACGAGAATAAAGCTTCCGGTTACGAGTGGAAAAATGCAATTTCCTGATGGATAGTGTTGAGTTTCTTGGAGTCAACATTGACAAACATGGCCGGCGTCCGGATGTCGCTAATATAGAAGCCGTCAAGCAGATGCAACCACCAAGGGATGTTGCCGAAACTTCGTCCATTTTTCGGTCTTGTAAACCATCATGCCAAGTCTACATCAGACAAGAGGTCTGAAGAAGTTGCTGATGAAAGGGAAAAGGTGGCGATGGACAAAGGTGTTCCAACCATCCTTTGATACAGTTAAGGCAGAGCTTAGTTATGGTTTAGTCTTGACCCACCTCAACCCAAACTTAGAGATTGTTGTTGCTTCGGACGCTTCCAATTAAGGAGTACGTGTTGTCATTTCCCACGTGTTTCTAGGAGGAGAAGAGAAGGCCATTGCGCATGCAGCACGGTCGCTGACAGTGGCGAAGAAAAATTACAGCCAGATTGAGAAGGAAGCGCTGGCGATCGTTTACGCAGTGAAACGGTTTCACAAGATGCTGTATGATAGACATTTCAAACTGAGTACGGACCGCAAATCTTTACTCTCAATATTTGGATCAAAGGAGGATATTCCTGTTTTCACTGCAAGTCGGTTCCAGAGATGGGTAACCGGACTGGTGGCTTGCGATTGCAGTATACAATACCGATCTACGCAACAACTCGGCCAAGCTGACACTGTATCTCGCCTCATCAGTTCCCACTCGAAGGAAAAAGATGACTGTATGATTGCACCTGTCAAATTCGAGCCGGAAGTTCAGCGGATTCCGGTTGACAGTGTAAGGGAGTTGCCAGTAACTTCGGACACGATTTGTGAAGAGACGGCTCAAGACGAGATCTTGCTGAAAGTGATAGGGTTTGTGCAATCCAGTTGGTCTACTGTCAGAATTTCGACTGAGTTACGACCTTTCTTTAATCGATACGGATCTCTTTCGATCGTTGACAACTGTCTGATGTTTGGAGACTGAGTCGTGGTACCAAGAAAATTGCGGAAAGCGAGTGCTACAACAGTTTCATTCAGGACATCCGGGAACCAGCCGAATGAATGCACTGGCATGATGTTTTGTGTACTGACTTTAAATAGATTAAGAAATCGAACAGTTTTACCAAAGTTGTGAAGCTTGTCAGAAAGCGGCGAAGGCACTTAAAAAATGTCCGGGCAAACTTGGCCCTGGCAGAGAGTCCACTTGGATTATGTGGGACAAATCAACGGTCAATCTTATTTGATTTCGGTTGATGCCTGCACATAATGGCCCGACGTGATTCTGGTGCAAAATCCAACCGCCCAGCACACTACCAATGAGCTGAACAAACTGTTCCAGTACTTTGGCACACCGGGGATGCTGGTTACGCACAACGGAGCACAGTTCACAGCAACGCTGTTCCGAGCTTTTGAACGCAAAACGGAATGCAGCACAAGTTTTCGCCGCCGTATCATCCACAATCAAATGACCAAACCGGAGGCTTTTCAGATACCTTTAAACGTGCTCCTCTCAAAGCGGAAGGAACGAGAGTGTCCAGAGATGTAATTCAGCCGGTTTTGAGGATGTAGCGAAACACTCCGAATCCAAACAGACCGGAGGGCAAATCTCCTGCTGAATGTTTATTTGGACGAAAAATTAGAACGAAATTTGATAGCCTGATCCCCAGAAATGTTGGAAAACGCAACGGGAAAACGAGAGAAGAGCAGGATAACAAGCTGTGTAGGTTCAAGATCAGCGATTTGGTGTACGCACGAAACTTCCAGACCCCGGAAAGATGGTCTAGCGGAACGGTTACGGGTAATAGGGGTAAGGTTAATTATAATGGTCGGATAGGACAAGTGGACTAGACACGTCAATTATCTACGACTGCGACTTGGAAAACTTCAAGAAGCAGCAGCACTACAGTGGGACATACTACTTAGTACATTTGGTTTGGTAAACAGAACTGATCTCCAAAGCGGAATACAGCCAGTCGCACAGGCGCCACACGACCCGTCAAGCAGGCCAAGTCGAAGAAGATGGCAACCCCGATGGCTACAAGTGAACCCCAGGGTAAAAAGGTACCAACAAGCCCAAGTGCGGAAAATAGGCAGGAGCAATCGATTTGAAGGGGAAGGTAATAGGGACCTAAGTGGAGCACGTAGGCTGTCTGTTACATGCAAAGGTCATCAGCACGCGGGTGGCACAACCTTTGACCTTTCCGGCGAATTGGGGAACCGAGTGCAGTGGATCGACCAGCAAATACAAGCTCGCGCCAGTGGAATCGAACTATTCTGTCAAGATGGTAAACCCGTGGAATGGAATTTACTCACACTGACTGAAAATCAGACGCAGAAGAGTGGGTGACCTGGACCACCAAAATTAGCAAGCTTCGTTGCCCACTAAATAGAGTTGACCTATCCTGTTGATATACTCTCTCTGTCTACCGAGTTTTGGACTTTGTATTCCTTAGGTTGGCTGAGCGCGTGACTGAGCAGTCAGACGGTCGCAGTCTCACAAATGAAGTAAGGCAGCAGTGCAACATCGAAATAATATTCATTCAAAATATTTGGATATGAAATGGTCAATAGTATTAAGTAATGATGGTTGCAAGATTATAACGAAATCAAAATCACATGATCGGGCCTATCGCGCAGTGGCATTCCCTCGAAAGGTGGAGTACGTACACGGCATTTATTTAAACCGAACCGGATGAAGTTAAGCAGATTAGAATACAGCAATGATCGGGGTTTAAACAAACCACAACATACATCTGTCACAAATCTCCGACACAGTGACAGAAGAGGCTGCGTCTGAAGATGAATCAAAACAAGAAAAATCGACAGACGAAAAGGAACTAGGAAGAGGAAAGCAACGTATTGGTGAGTACCATTATGTGCGATAGCGGAATCAGTTAATACACCTAGGAACAAAATTGCCAGTATCTTTGTGGTGACACAGTAAACTACTTGTGGAAAGCGCAGAGAGATGGGAAAACGTTATCGAGAATGATAAGGAAGATTGATGGAGACAATGAGCAATGGGGACCGATAGAAAACAGCACTGTGGCGTTTGAGTGTGATGAATACCAAGATGTAAATAAGAGTGCTGCTTTTCACATCCAACAATTGTGGGATTGGAAAAACCAAACTCTCATAAGGAAACACCGAGATCGCGCAATATTTTGAAGGTGGACTAACACGAGTCAAGGCTAGCAGTGGTCACAACACCGGAGTGAAGTTGCTAAGAGGTCTTGAGTAACACGGAAGGAAAAGCAAAAGGAAAGTCACGGCTTTTCAGAATGAGCGACGATAACTGTACTTCTTAAGTGCTCGGGACGCATATATGTCGTTCGCGGGACACTACAGAGTTCCTTGTGCTCAAGACTATGTTCCGCGCTTATCGCTTTGGTCAAAACTATTAGCCGCATCACTAGGCTCTCGGATATTTCTTTTCATTCTTAATAGAAAACGATAGGAGGTTCGCGCTTCGTTTTAGTACCTAGGTCGTCAGTAGTGCCCACCACAAACGGAAACAAAGTGAGGCTCTAGAGCATTAAATAAAAGAGGAAAAAGGCGCTTTACTGTGAAAGTGACGCGCAGGGTTGATCTTTTTACTCCAGGGAAGGATGGAAAGGTTTCAGCCATGAAAGATATTTGTGTGAAAAGGACGAAAAAAGCTGACGATGAATTGGGGCGAAAATAATGCGACAAGTTCTCAGATAGAGATTATTAGTGTTCGGGAAATTAGGTAGCTGAGATAAAGGCATTGTGTGAGCACTGTGTAAAGCTTAGCGAGGTTCATAGACCGAATTAATAACCTAACGACCCAGGCACATCGTTGACGTGTGGGATCGAAAAAGTCGATACCATAGTTTACAAAATCAATGTAAACTAGTAAATGGATGGTTAGAGTGAGTAGCCTCTCGAATTCGACCGGTTGTTATGGAAAATCTGTGAGCTCAAACCAACATTCTCGGAAAGATAGAGACGAAGGTAGTATAAGGCTTATAAATAAAATCCGAGCGTACTTTGCACATGTTGGCGGGTCGAACTGTAAGACCCAACTGACTTCCGGAATGTCCAAACCTCGAGCAGCGACATCAGTGCATAGCAAAGCGGCACTGTGGGGAAGAGAAACAGACAAACAGGGTTTGAACCAAACACAGTATCCCTTACATGTGTGGTAAAATTCAACCTTGCAATGCAGCAAAAAATTTTGGCCGGGAACAGAGAAAGTATGCGTATAATAAAGTGTCTTGAGGACAACATTTGTGCAACCAAGCGCGTGAACTACAGAGATCAAGACCTATAGACTTGGCAATGAAAATGAAGTCGATTTCGAAGATGGCGGTAGTTGGAAAGAAAACGGTTTAAATGAAGGAATCCCTTGCTTTGCGTAGGTATTATTCAAAAGGAACCCAACGACAATCACTTCTTATGCTGTTATCCAATAAAAGGACTATGCGAGTGTCAAACGTGCAGTAATTTTTGTAGTTAACGATTAGATGCATAGCAGGAACTATCCTGAGCTACGCAAGAATGGGGACGCTCAGTACAAAAATGGTACAGCAGCCGTCACGAAAAGAAAATCCCACGTACAAGCAAGATGACTGAGCTAAATGCGAGGCTAGATTTACGTTGGGGGAGAAACTTGTTAGGGACTGAACCACAGACAACGCCGAGTGAAAACAAATAAAAATTCTGTTACTGATGACCGAATATGGTCAAATTATTAAGGGAAAGGTAAAACACAGCGTTGCAAAGAGATCTCTTTTCGTTAGTTCACATCAGGCAATTACAGCTACAGGTATTATAAATGTAACAGTAAACTAGGGGAAATGAGAACAAACATAACAAGATGGCAACTATTTAGCACACTTCCCACAGACTCGGTAACTCGAATTCAGCTCAAGCAAAATTCCACATATATATGTTTTACTGATTGTAGTGAATCTTGATCCTGTGATTGGGCAACACACGGACTGGGTACAGAGCAGTATGAGGTTAGTTTTTGACCATAATCTCATTATGACTTAGAAGCTAAGAGATACGATTCTTGTATGGTAGAGAAACTGTTGATCAGGCGTGGGAGCAACATAAGTCCATCAACAAGCGCAGAAAAAACCGCACGGGATGTCTAACGCGCTTAGCAGTTAGTAAGTTATCGCGAAGGATGGTAACCGATTCCAGGGTAGACAAAAACAGATCGCTGACATGAGATCTACAGATTACAGGAGAAGCTAACTTAATTTATGCTTTCACTTGCGTATCTCTCTCTAGTTAAGAGTAACGAAGAGATAGTTCCAAGGACAGGCTTTAGGATGAGTTCAACGCTGACATCTAGCCGTTTTTATTAACAGGAAACTGTCGAGTGCAATGTTCGAATGCCATGGGGAAACATACTGAGCAAGCGGGTAAACTCAGCTACAACTAGGATTTAAGCTACCGGAGACGCACCAAAAATACCTTAGGAAGCTCGGTCGGCTCAGCCCGTCCCAACGTGATCGTCGCTTGAGCGATATGGTTTGTCCAATTCGCTGGTAGCTGCTTATGAGCGATGGACCACATTGTAAATCGATAAGCACCAATACGATTCAGTCTTCTGAGGTGTCTCCAAGTACCTATTTGCCATGTCACTGAGTTAGTAGCCTGGGGTTTTATGAGACCAGGCACAGAACTGGAGAAGAATACACACCGTGGCATCAAGCTCTCTGCCAGTATGCAAAACACATAACTGAGCCACCGAAGGTGATTCCACATCAACCGGCAGTACAATGAAGCACAAAATGGGTTGTGTTGAAGCATCAGATAAGGCACATCAATAGTACTCACTCGGCTTTCCCATTAAACATCAGCAATACTCCCCACGACGCACCGGTGGCCAAAATGGCCAGTCTCTCCTAATGTCTTCAGTGCATAGCGGTCAGGCCTCTTCTCCATACAATAACACTATCCGCACCGCAGTAATTTAAGACTTTACATCAAGCAATAAGGCAAAACCCGCCATCAGGATTTGAAAGGCCACACTAGCCTTTAACCTGCGTGCAGTAATATCCTCAGTGTGGTGTTGTGACCACCACCAGAGGTGATACAGTTACCCAACTAAGTGATCCGATTGATCACGTTCAGCTGCTTTTCGGCTGCACGGTATAGATACGGTCATGCATCAGTGCTCTGCATTGTGAAGGTATAAAGCACATGTTAGGCGCAAAACTTCAGCCTATTCAAAAACGAATACCTACTAAAGGGGCTCAAGTCAAATGAGGTAATGCAATCTGCGCAATCTAGATTTGACAGCCGGTAACCACACACAGTACATGCGAGAAAAAGAGGAAGTATGTAATCTTTGGACCCGTTGCAGTCGGCCTGCTAACTTTACAGAGTAAGCATACCAGTAGGCGATTAAAACCAGGTAGACCAACGCGGTTTTGCGGCAGTAAACCGAAGCAAGGTTATACAAACTATGGGCCCGAATAATTGTTGAAGCCGCACTGTTGATTTCTGAAAAATCAACGGGACTTATACGATCGCAGTGCGTTCAATTACAACCGGTTGCGGAGACCCTAACGCACTGTTCTGTAGAGATTAGTGCATAACGCAGTTAATAGTAAGGATTCTGAAAACAAAATTTAAACAGGCGCGTGTTGCGACTTCGCCAAACGGATAACTGAGTTTCAGCGGGAGAATAGAAAACGTGCGCGACCACATGTAAGCATCAATTTGTACTTGTAAATAAGTATACAGTTCGCTCTCGACCAAGTCTTATTTGAGTATCCCTGACCATGGTAAAATGACCACGAATGATCAGGAAATGTAGTAGTCAAAAGTTTATCATTAGTAGATTGGATCTACGCATGTATGCATATATGAATGCACGTGCTTATGTGTGCCCCATGCTGAAGTTGATATCGCATTCGTCATATTTCTTTGTCGCGGTTGAGCTACACCGAATTACATTTAATATAGATCGTCTTAATCTGAATTCCTCTGCATTCCTCTTTTAATGAGTTCGTCCCAGCAGCTCACAAGCTACATAGCTCAACCACAATTCGCAAAAGTAATAAACACGTTTCGCCCTACTGGGGCTCGGCCCTGGAGCGCATTCCGTCAGTCTTCTACTGAGGATCGAACCCAAGACCGCTCGAAGCTGACGCCAAGTAGCCAGCAACTTAAGCCAAGGGGGATGGCAGCTGGGCTACATAATTTACAAGTTAACTGGGTTATAACACGACAAATCTTCTACTGCCACGTCGGTTGCTACCAATGCAGATGACAGTGGCTAGTCTCCCGGTCACCGCTTCATCCCACTAAACGCTACGTCTATAGCATTTGAGATTGGGGTCACATTTTATACTACTTATGAGTAGGAGGATGTTGGTTGAATTTTAATAAGTTCGTCCCATTGAAATTACAACTAAAATCCTCCTAATCATAAGTAGCATCCCACTTTGTTGGATTTGTCCAGTTCGGTTTCTTGGCTATATTCCGCTTCAATTTTGTTTGTTTATTTTCCTTCAAATGCCATGTTGGTTGTTGGACATCGCAGGCGTTGCGGAGCTTTATGTAAAGGTTGGCAAGGTGCCTACTCGTCTAACACTCTCCACTTCGATTACTGTCTCCAGGAAACTGAATCGTTACTGTGAAGGATGAGGTGAACGGTCCTCGTGGTCGTGTGCGGCTCAAAGAAAGGTTCTATATATCCAGTGTGGAGCGGACTACGGCCCAGCCACGGCCTTTTGTACGTCTGATAAGCATGATTCCCAAATTAGGTGGACAGGACTACTGTTGCTGTGCATGTTAAAAGAGTGTGGGTCAGCTCCGTTGATGAAACGTGGCTCCCATCCACATGCCTCCCGGTCTTATTCCTCCGGGTTTACACTGGATATGGGGTGTGTGGATGGAGCTGTGGGTGGTACAGCGCAAGCCACCCTCTGTAGGCGGAAGCGTTCTGTGGCCGTCCAGTGGAATTCGCAGTGACTGCTAAATGCAGAACCGAATGCTGCTAACCGTGTGTTTATGTAGGTAGCTGTGTTGTTGGAATTTGCAAATATACCGTAGCATTTGTGAGTGTATTATATAGGGTCGCCGGTGTGAGAAGGGACCATAGAAAAGCTTCGAGGTGGATGATAAAATTCCGTGGAGTGGACATGATCGTCCACATAAGCAAAGGGACAATGATCTCACTTATTGGCGAGTCACACTCACCACCTCAGTGTTGTTAAACAGAAATATGTGGATATTTATGCAGAGAATGCCTGTCAGACGGAGACCCGCCAAGTTTTAGAACATCGTTGCTAACTATTTACTGGAAAGGAACAAATCTGAACAACCCGGCTGGAACCACGGGCAGGTTGTCCGGTGAGCCAACCTTTGCTCGGTTCGATTCAATTGCGCACCTGAGCTCCGAGCAGCGCAGTGCGTCACGTCCAATTGCCGTGATATTCGCGCTATTGCCCAACGCTCCACAAATCTAATGATCATTTGTACCGCATAGATTCAGAACGCTGCATCAGTGTCGCTCACTTGCATTGAGCGTTAGTCGAGTAGTCCAGTGTCTCGGGACGATTGCTCCGCGGGTCAAAATGATTCACTGCTTAGAACAAGGTTGCCCTTTGTACCTGCAGCCCATGCCAGTGCTGAGTTTTCCATACATCCCATGCAATTATTGTCATAGGTAACGGTGCGAGCGGCACAACACAGTCTTGTCGTCGTGGACTCAGTATCCGCTCTGGTCATCCGGCCCAGCAACCACTACATTCGCTATCATTTTTGCTTTGTCATCGTTGACAGCTGATCAGTAAGGTTTGTTATTATGTGTAGCCCTGTCTTCGTGGACAATGGTGACAAACACCACGTCTCTCAGATATAGCTGATTCTCACAGCATAGTCGGCTACTATGCGAGTCCAGTGAATGACATTTGTTCTAATCCGGACGTCGAAGCTACACCCACCACTGTCTTTAAATAACTCGGCCCCCCAACTTCCGGAAGGGGCTTCGATGGTTCCCAAACTGCGCTTCCCATCATTAAATGCGGAAGTAGAATTATGGTCATAGATATTTTATCGTCGCGTCATCATCCTTCGCACAGGTTGGTAGTTGTAGTGTCCTTGCTCGGCAATTGAGAAAACGGTGAAGTGGGTCAGATCCATCTTTGGTGGATGGAATGACCCTACGTACCAATGACAAAACAAAAGGGTTTTCTGTGCTCCTGTGATCCTGAGAAGCAATCTCGTCGCTTAATTCGCTAACCATAATAGGGTTGATGAGTCACAGAAGACAGTCTCATTTCGTGTCGTAAGTGTGGAATCGCGGATGATTAGACCGTGGTCGGTTGTCTGGAATAGACAAATTGGGATCGCAACTTGTCCACCAGAGCTTGTGCGAAAGGCATCAGCAGTACACCGGTACGCAGTACCGACGCTTCGCTGCCGCGCAGCCATCACCAGTCGAACGAGAGATAAAAATACTGCGAGGGTCACCCTGCCCCTACGCAGGCTTGAACCCGCGCCGTCAGATTGCAAGCTTGTTATCTTTAGGCTACGGGCCTGTGCACAAGATGCGATAAAAGCATCGATCCCAACGTAGCCGCTAAAGTAATCCACAACAATCAAATAATCGTTCCTCATATGAGCGAGGTTCAAAGCGACTTTCTGCCGAGGCCTCTGCGAAACATCATCAAGGATGGTTGGTTTTCTAGGCATGCCATACAATTTGACGTATGCTCTCCTTTTTGGCCGGCTAATCGGAGTCAGAATACGTGCTCACGATTTGATAGTACATAATTGTTGGTATCCAATCGTCAGCATAAAGGGCCGTAATGTGTTTGTGGTGTGTGTCCGGTTGAAACACCGTGACTACTGCAAACGCACCTTGATGACAGAAATCGGTTGCGCCGCGTGGACTATGCTTAAAGCTTTGCAGTGCCGGTCGATAGGCGATATCTGAGTTGTAATCCTGAAAGTGAAGGAACACCGTTGTGAGCAGCAAAGAATAGTATGGATTGGGCTGCGAGCTATAGACATCAATCGCTTGCGGCCAATAAACACAGCAATTGTCGTGACCGAATGCACAAGTAATGACGCACTCGGAGGCATAAACCGGTCCAGACGTCTCTGTTCCATCTGAGAATAACGAAGCCTAATCTCTAGTGAGCTCCAGCTCTGTGCAGCAGTGATGCGTCACACTAGATCTCGAGTTGACAGAAGATCGATGAGTGGAACCACTGCAATAAACGTTCGGAACCCCTGTAGTGCCTACGTCCGATTTGTGCCCAAACTAGCAATTTTCTAATCTGTGAGTTGAATTGTAAATTGGCATCATCGCATCAATCATAGTGAATAAGAAACAGCTCAGGTAGCCAGTCGTGTTGTTCAGTGGGCGATGGCCATCATGTACACAAGAAAGGGGTTTCTTTCGTAACCTTGCTTTTAACTGGACACGATCCGAATGTTATGACTTGTGTTAGAGCTTGACGCTGATATCACTGTAATATCAAAGAAATCTGAAGATTTCATGCAGGCATTTCCCTTCACGAAATTCAATAAAGCAAGAAGAAACAACATTTTAACAGAATTTATTGAATAGAGCAATTTCACGTATTTTCATCAGCTGTTTACATACAAGTAGTGGAAATCACATTGCGATGTTAACAGCAAAAATTCAAAGCGGTCGAAGGTCCTTAGGCTCACGTGACCCGTTCCGAGGAAAACATAATCACTAGCTTCACCAGGGAAGGGCTAGCGTGGTCACGAAATCCGTTTGCTTGCACAGATGTGGCTTCAGTCGCTGAATTGCTGCCGCCTCCGCAAACTGTAGTAAACGGGGATTAGCTTGTTTGCTAACTACCCTGAAATTGCCACGTGGGTTTTGGCATTCAGGGCAGTCAAGTATGTCGCGGGCAATAGAGCTAGTCGGTAGCTTCGGGCAGTTAGCGATCATGTTTCGCGGAACATGCTCTGCAATTCTCGCTGACAGCCTTCTATCAGTTCGGCCTATGTACTTGCTACCGCTTTATTGAATACTGAAGATCACGATCAGACCCAACAGCCGCCACACAGAACGCTCCGTGTATGTCGTTCAATGGAGGCACCAGCCACTTATGATGACAATGAAGGTTTTCAACGCCATCTGTTTCTATTGATTGAAATGACGGTGGTTTGCTGTAGAGTACACTGCAGTGCAATTTGGGACCGGGTCGCGATCCAAACGCACGGTGAGTACCCGGAAACTCAAATATGAGACTAAACAGACACTTTAACCTTAATAGTAAACACGACCCTGGAAAACAGGGCGCAAAAATATACGTTTATCTTCTGTGGGTTATCGTGTTTCTTATTAAGCGTTTCTATGCCCCTTGTTTACTAATGGTATCTGCTAGATGAACCCCGTGGGTCAGCGGCACCGGAAGAACTAGTCTTCTAGATGAGTTATGCGAATTTTTTCGTTGCTGTTGTATCTCACAAAACGGAGCTGTGCTCCTGTTCCGTGAGTAACTGCCACAGGATATCGCGCGCAGTTTTGCAGTGCTCAGCTTTCACTTTAAAGTTGATTGGCTGCCGTTCCGCACATACAGACCTCAATACGTTTTCAAAAGACGGATTTCGTCGACTCAGGCGTCAAGTAATCTAATCACTTCATGCACAGATTCAAGTCGATCGCGTATGGAGAAGTTTGGGGAGTAATCGCATAAACGATGAAAATACTTTAAGAGTATTAAACTCAGTGGGATAATGTTAACGGACTCGCCAAACAAACTTCCCGGCAACTTAGCAGTGACAGCATACAGATAAGTCACAGTGAACAACAGTATCGTACTTTTAGAACGTAGCAGCGGAGGACATTTCCATAGAATTCTGTACAGCGCTTGAACCACAGTCACTTTGTAACGTGGCAACGAGTTAGGCGGCTTGAACCGCTTTGCAACAAGGTATCATGGCCAGTATCTAATGCGATGAACCCCGTCCTATATGGTGATTCGGGATGGGTCATCACAGGTATAGGAAAAAAGATCGCGGGTTCGACTACAACGAGATCGGGCGAGATGCGTGTTGTCGAGCAGTCCCAATGGAACGAAACACCAGTGCACAGCTTTCCCGAATTCGTGGTGGTTGTGAGACAATCGTGTGCACAGGTTTCTATTCGTTTTAGTATATACGTTTAACACTATGCAGTGTTCTGCATCTCACCCTCTGTGATTAATTTTCATGTATGTCTTTCCTAACATTTGTACCACAGTTAAAAACTGGAAAGCAAGTTTGCTTGTGTATTGACTAGGTAGTTTTCTGGAGGAGACTAGCTCACGCACAGATAAACCAGTTGCATTCAGGTATATTGCCTCTGCTAGTCACCCCTCATATGTGGACGAGCCGCAAAGTGATCACTCCCCATAGTACGAACTCACGTTGATTGCTTTCGAAAAGCGTCCAATATAGCCAAACGTTTTTTACGTAGTTTTCCATGGAACGCATGGATGCGAGTGGCTTGCGATTTTGGAAGTATGATGCGAAGGGCTCGGGAAAAGTAATCCACACAAGCACATGTGGCGAAAAACACAAGTAGCTTCTCTGTTGGATGAGACAGCAAGAATCGGATGACGGCGGCAAGTTTGAGCTCAGATTTGAGTATCTGAAACATGGTGACAAAGAGTGGTTAGAATGTCGAGAAGTACCAGAGAAGGCGTGACCGAAAAGTCACAAGGGAGTAAGTAATATGCCTAATGCATGTGCGTTCCATGTGGTTTGGATGATCAGATGATACAATACGCAGTGTATACAAGTTAACTGTTAGCAAAAGCATAATCCGCATGTGAGAGGATATACAAAAAGGAGGGGATGGAGACAGAAAAGAGACTAGACGAACGCTTAGAAATTCAAGAAATAGACACAATAGGGCGATTGTGAAACCTATAATTTAACCAAAAAAGCCAGTTATGGGGAATCCTCGTCCCTATCCCAAGTTACATCTTATAACATTACATGTTGCAACACTGCAACATGGTTGCCATTCAACATACAACACGACGCATGTCAATAGTAAGTTCTATGGAGAGGATTGCGGTGGCTCCGCCATTAGGTTTTTACGAATGCGTACATTTGCGCATTGCTCGTGGTCACAACTGCAAGAGGGGTTTGTAATGCCCATTAAGATAGCCCAATAATAGTAGCAACTAGGATACCACTAACATAATTTCGTAGACAACAAAGTGAGCGTAAACCAATATCGTTCACTTACATGCTACGTATATTTCTGTGGGCTCTAACTAGTTTGTGCCCGTTGTAAAAATCAGTGTGATTGTGCTCATTCCGGTGCAATACTCGGTTTACCGCCGATTTCGAGAAAGTGTCAATGATTGTTTGTAGAAAGAGAACTGGATACAAATGAGTACGTATAGAAAGGATAAAAAGGGAACTATACATAATACTAGCAAGAGTTGCCAGTATGATGGTCAGAATCCACGTGAAACCGAGGGGAAAAGATAATAACAAAGCGGGTTTTCGGATTAAGCGTCAAATGTACAGCGTCACAAAAGAAGCAAAGTGTAAAAACACGAAAAGCAAGAAGTTGTTCTATGTTTCAAACATAGCTTATACTAGGTACATCGGTTCTGACTAATGTGATATCTACTCATCTTCGCACTCTTTGTTGGAGGTTGCACGCAGAGGGTTTCTTCCTGTGTCTAGTGGTTGTGTGGTATGCATTGCTTATGCGTCCATTCCTCGTGCGCATACAACTGTGGTTCCAAAGTGTTCGGTTCCTTTGGGGGAGTCAGTACGGCCTGCTGATGACTGGTTGCTGTTTCGCATCCTGGAACCTCCATACTACTGATAACTGGCGCAACAGTGCCTGCCTTTAGTCCACTACTCCGCCCCCTCGAAATTGCCCACCCAGCTGATCTCGCTCGGAGTCTTTCTGACCATCGGGGATGCTCACTGTGCGAACGAGATCCCTCCTAGAAACCGTGTCACTCCTTCAACTCACCAACCGTGAATTCCCTTGCCGTGAGCATCGCCGATTGACCACCTACGGCCCCTTCCACTTCAGTAGGAGTTCCCTCTCCCTTGGGACACAAGTGGGAGTGCTTTGATGGTCCCTGTATTTCAAATTCGAACCGAGCTGAAACTCGACACTCATGTCACTATTGTTGATCTGGGACATCACCATCATCTGAGTCTGAGTTGCCTTCAGGTTACGGTTAGCTGCCTTCCCGTGCCTCTTTGGGAGATATTCGGCAAGTTAGCCACATTCCAGCCTCTAGATCCACAGGCAGGTGAGGTGCTCGACCGAACATCAATTGGAACGGTGATTTCTTTGTGGACGTCTGTTTGGATGCTCGATGGGTCAGCAACGGCAGTGGCAAAGCTTCCTCCCAGTCTCCACCCTTTGTCGCTAACCACTCCTTAATCGTTCTATTGTTACGTTTCGTTAATCTATTTGTCTGCGGGTGGTATGGGGTTGTCCGCACTTTCTTGATACCAATTTGTTCCAAGCGGTTACGGAATTCCTCACTCTCGAAGCACGGACTCTGGTCTGTTAATATGGTCTTTGGCATTCCGTGATCCGCTATCAAATGTTTCACGACGGCATGGATAATAGTGATCACCCGCTGATCCGGGATTCCAGCGCATGAAGCACTCTCTCATCAACATGATGTATGGGTTGCCACGCCTGCTCAGCAGAAACAGTCCCATCACGTCGAGCGACCATAGTCCACCAATTTCCGATACCGGGATCGAGATCAATGGTTGTTGTGTTCATCGGAAGCCCCTTATCAAGAACTGACATTGCTTACACGAAACCGTGTATGTCCTGGCGTCCCTCCATTTCCAGCGAGTAGACGCGTTGTTCCTGCAGATCGTAGGTTCTGGAACAATCGGTGTGCGCCACCCCGTGACAAGAAATCACCAGCCTCCGCCTTAGTTTCGCCGGAATAACCGGCACGGAAGTGTTGCTACCTCCTGATATCCCCATCAGGATCCCCACTTCAATTACTTGTAGCTTTTCAAGATTTCTCGCAAACGGTCCGAGTTGCTTGTGTTTGCTCTTGTTTAGGACTGATTGACCGGTTATTCGTGCGGTGATCACGTTGCTCAAGAGTTTGTCACTACGTTGTTCGGCCGCCAACTGTCCCGGATCCTGCTCTAATAGAATACCACTAATACCGAAAGCCACACACAGCATGTCATCTTCGTTCATCATGCATGACAAAAAAGCCACAATTTGGTTCTTTTTCCCCGATACGCGGTTGATCGTGGCGCAGCGCCAATCGCGATAGCTTTCCCCTAGGGCCTTTGGTAGTTATAATCCATTCTAAAGAATTGTGGTCCGTTTCGACGTATAATCGCTGACTTAGAATAGTTAGCCACCATTTGTTCAACGCCCGGACGATTGCGAGACATTTATTATGGTTGTGTGCGTTCTGCCGATGTTAAAGGTCTGCTGGCGTACTCAATCGCCCATGGCTCTGTTTCAAAACCGCGCCGACTCCGATGTCGCTGGCATCGGTAGCCGCCGTGAACATCACTCCTGCAATAGGCAAATTCAGGGTCAGCTCCTGTCTTCACATTTTCTGTAGAAGGCGATCAAAGGCTTGTTAGGCCTCTGCGGTCCAAGTGATTTGCTTATTCTGTGTCAGTACCTCAGGCAGGAGTGAGGCTAAATTGTTGAATTCCTTGACGAATTTGCTGTAGTACCCAGCACGGCCAAGAAACGCTCGGCGAGGGCGCATTTAGGTGGGAAAGGGGGTGCTTTGTGTTGTCAACATTTTCTCAGTTAGTGTCTTCAGCTCACCTTGTTCCACTTTATGGCTCAATAAGGTGACACAAGCATTTCCAATCTAGCACCGGTCCAGTTATACAGAGTCCCGACTGCTGAATACGTTCCAAGACTGCTTCGAAATGACCGCTACGCTCCGCCTCTGATTGGCTTTACACCACGATATCATCACCATACACCGCCACGTTCTCCAAGCCACTCAATAAGCGAAGTAATAAACGTCAGAAAGGAAACGGAGCTCCCGATAAACCAAAAGGTACTTTTTAAATTGGTATTGTTTTTCACCGACAGTAAACGCCATTTTCTCGGTCTTCTCGCTTAATCACCAGTTGCCAGATCTCAGACCCAGAGCCGTGCATATCCTCGACTGTTGCAGTCTATCAAAAAACTCAGCAACTAATAGCACTGGAAACGACTCAAGAGTTCATACAGCGTTCGGAAGTCTACACAGAAATGGGTTTCCACTAAAGCATTTCCCGCAAAGTTGCATAAAAGGTCCAAAATTTTGCAAAGAAAGTTCAAAATTTTGCATAGAAAGTCCAAAATTTTGCAAAGGTCCAAAACTTTGCAAAGAAAGTCCATAATGTTGCAAAACCCTGTGCGATTCGCCAGCCGCTCAGAGCCAATCCTCTGACCTTAAGTGTGTTCTCATTGGCCGGATGCCAAGGTTCGGTGGGTTAGTCTGGGGAGGTGAGCACGCTGCTCGTTGACTGGGTGAGACTTGTGAATGAACCTTGGAGGAATGCACTTCGACGGTGCAACGGGCTTGTATGCGCCCCCCTCACGTCCGAAACGATGGATCACAATTGGTCTGATAGCAATGAACAGCTGGAACATATGCGCACGACCGAAACCATGTCTATGATTCTAACGTCGTCGGCATGCCTTCTCACGTTCGACAGAGTATCTCATCAGATATTCGTGACCGAGTTTTAGGCGCTTTCGTCAACGGTGATGACTGGCAGCTTGTGGCAACTGTGAACAACGTCAAATATCAAACAGCCTACTCCTGGATTCGTCGTTCTCTTGATCAGGAACCGAGTACTACGCAGGCGCGCGGTCGTAAACGGATTTTGTCGGAGGAAGACGTAGATGACATCCTGGATTGGATCGCAAGAGACGCAACTCTTACGCTACGGGAAATGCGAGTACGAGTACGAGCAGAAATGGACAAGGACATTTCGAAGTCAACAATTGCACGGCACCTAGATGGTCGATTGATAACTATGAAGAACATCTATCAGGTTCCCGAGGGAATGAACAATGAGCGAAACAAAGGAATACGCAGGGAATTCGTTCAGCAGTTTCTCCAATTTGAGAGCGATGGCAAGTTCTTCATTTGGATTGACGAAGCGAACTTCAACGTTTACTGCAAACGTACTCGTGGTCGGGCGCCCAGAGGAGTGAGGGCCTGTTGCAAAGTTGCCAACAGCAGAGGGCACAATTTACATTTAATCGGTGAACTCACGATGGAAGGGAAAGTGTCGATGACAACCCGGAGAGGCTCATTCACAGGTTCCCTATCTCTCGAATGGCTGCGAAGCTATTTAGACAACCTGAAACGGGAGATGGAGCTCCGGCAGGTGAAGAAGCATCAAGAATGCAACATCAGCCTC